AATCCCTGTTTCACGTGGCCCTTACTGGCGCAGGACCTAGGGACCAGACGTCAGCTGCAGCTTTGCCTCTTGCTTTTTTCCAAATGATTTGCCACATATTTCAAGAGCCTGCCTTTCTCCCCAGAGAGCTGCTTTTGCAGTGCATCCCTGGAAGCAGTCCACTGGCTAATTCCCTTAGTGCCTGGGGCCGCCATCCTACTGCCTCATCTCCTTGGTTCCTGCTCAGCATCATTGCTGTCACTGCTCTCACATGATCGCCCACAAGCTCAAGAAAGTCACTCCTCCCTTCAGCACAGTGTCTCACAGAGCAAAGACAGAGAAAGCAAAAGCTTCCTTTACCACCCGGCCTTTTGAAGAAGTTCATTTAATTCCCATTCTTTCCGGCTTTATTTTTGGCCACTTTCTCTCTAGGTTCTGTTTTTCCCATTTCCTTTAGAAACCTGAATACAGATAGATGTTTTGGACTTTTCTTTCTCTTTAAATCCTTCTAACTGATTCATTTACCTGCTGTACTTCATTTTGTGCCTCAAGATGATGACTGCCTCTCCCTGCTTATGTTGTCCTCTTCCCATCCCCTTCAGCTGGTGGCTGTGCTTGTAGATCCTTTCCAAGGGCCTACCAATCCCTCTAAGACCCCCACAGGGAATCCTGGGTAGCATCGAGCCTTCCATACCTTTCTTTTCCTCTGAGGCTCATTTTCCCTGCCTCTAGTTATTTTCATGAGCTCTCATTGGAGCTCCCCCTCCCCCCCCCACCACCCCCGCACCCCCCCCCCGCGCCCCCCCCCCCCCCCCCGCCCCCCCCCACCCCCCCCCCCCCCCCCCGCCCCCCCGCCCCCCCCCCACCCCCCCCCGCCCCCCCCCCCCCCCCCACCCCCCCCCGCCCCCCCCCCCCCCCCTCACGCCCCCCCCCCCCCCCCCCGCCCCACCCCCCCCCCCCCCCCCACCCCCCCCCCCCTCGCTTGAAGCCCTAGGCAAGGAAGTTTTTTCCCCCTCACCCCCCCCCGCC